GACAAAGGGTGTTCTGCACCTGCACTGTCTGCAGAATCAGGCTCCTAACACCTTGGGTCGATGAGGCTTTTGCACAGAGGGCAAAACGCTCAGATGAAGACGTGGGTACACATTTTTCCAGATGATATTTCTGTACAAGAGCTGAAAATAGCTCTCAGATGGGAACATGAACATGCAGACAAATATCCACAATCATGTGCCAGAATTACAGGGCATTCAGCTACTGCAGTGGTGTATTACAGAAAGGCCTATAAATAAAATGCTACTTAGACAAATGCCCAAATGCGGTAGGTCAAGATAGATAACCAGACTTGGAACAAGGTTCCAAACTAGCGTTGCAGCAGGTCTTTAAATTATGTTTTAAAGCAAATAGGTTTTGTTTCCTTATTGAGGTACGTGCAGCCAATGCTGAACCATGGACCATGTTTGTTGCCAAGAAGAGGAACACACATTGTTAAAGAGGCAGTACTTACACATATGCAAGTGTTGTACAATATGCTTAAGCAGTCCTTGATCAGGTCATCACTTACTACAAAGCAAAAATAAGACGTCAATCGATTACACAGTTTTAGAACACTTCCTTCCTGTACCACAATCAAAGCATTAGGTAGGAGGACTTAATATATTCAGTTAAATAGCCTGAAACAGATGCAAAAAAATTAAGCTGCAATGAAGCAAGCAATTAGAAATAATTAATGAGATACCCAACCAGTACAGTCCAAAAGATTTAACAGACTGAGGGCTTCTTATAGGGCATGCTAATTCTGACCTACATCCAAACAAATATCAATCTTCAAGTCTTCCCCCTCCTCGGATTAACCACAACCAGCTAACACGGTTTCAAACAGGACACATTTTCCCAGCGTAAACAAAACCTTTGACAGATTTTATCTTGATATTTCACCTGTGAATCTCAGTTTCTTCACTTGAGAAGTGAGGAGGATACCATAATACTTCTTCCAGAGGCATTGCAAGCACGAGATAGTGCCAGGTAGACATGGAAGATGAAAAATACAAATATTGAGCCTACTGAGTTGCTCCAGCAGACAAAATGCTATTCTGAAGCAACCACTGAGTTCACTTTGGCACACTCCCTTTATTACAGAGTTAGGAAATGTCTAGTCACTACATCTCTGGAAAAATAAGTTGAGTCAGGGAAGCCAACTCCTGTTGTGTATCCTAGGGATGACATTCTGGAACATTTGAGTAGGAGCTATATAGTCACCAGTAACTTCAGTTAAAGTTTCTAACATTTGTGGACATGCCAATAACCGGAAACCAAGTTTATGCACCAAATATAGACACTAAAATGATGCTTTAACACACACAGACTATAACTCGGCTCCTCATAAATTAGCGCCACAGCGAGAGACAGTTTTCATATTCAGGAAAAGTGAATCCTTTGCTTAGTATTGAAAATAGATATAAATAATTGGAGGGGGAACAAGGTATTGAAAAACAGCTATTTAATCTTAACCTTATTTACTTACTTTTCTGTTTCTTTTTCTGTGTAATCAGAGTTGGTCTCATAAGAATTTCCACTAGAAGCTGTGAAAACAAAGAATGAATTGAAGTGGAGTCATTTTAACAGGCTCAAGACACGATTTTTATCTTCTCTAAATAGCAAGCCCCAAATCAGACTATTTCCTAGGCCATGTCTACACAGCAGCATTATTTTGAAATAGGGATATTAAGGGATGTTAAATGGAGTTTAATCATCTAATCGACTAGTCGATGGCATTTCCGTCGATTAGCTGATAATAGGGGGAACTGCAGAGCAACAGCTGGGTTAGCTTCCGGCCCTAGAGAGGTAACCCTGCTGTGGCTCTGACTTTTAAATGTATTAAGAGCCACCAGGCTCTTAATACATTTAAAAAGCACAAGTGCAGCAGGGGGGACTGGACGCAAGCCGAGAATCAGCTGATTCCTGTCTCGCACCTGGTCCTCCGCTATACCTCTGTCTCCCCTACCCCCCACGGAGACAGTGCTGGGGGGGAAACCGTCTAATTTTTATTAGTCTTGACAGAAGAACTGATAACAAAGAAAAAAAATAGTAACTTTGGCCCTTTTAAAACACCAAGTATTTATATGACTGGTCTGGATATTATATATGTGATCAAGTCATGATCACTTGTACCAATTTCACAAAGCTTAAAATAAATCAAGCCAAAAATCAGCTGGGCAGAAAACGTAATAATTGGGAATTGTTCAAGAACACTGCTAAATGTCCAAAAAGCCACATTAAAGATCCTCATATTGGTCAAAAAACTGACTTGGTTTAGTGAGAAAGTGACGACAGCTATAACCTTCTCCACCCTTCCCCAAACACCTCCCACAACTAACAAATGTAAGAAAGGGGGGAAACTGATGATAGTTGAATATTAGTCAGAAACTATAATTGTAGAAAATCGATAAGGGAAGCAAAAGGACAAAATAAGATCTCTAGAGCTAGCAAAGCTAAGGACAATAAAGAGTTTAAATATACTATGAATAAAAAGAATCCTGACAAAAGGGTTGAAAGATACCTCAGGAGGTCATCAAGTCCAATCCCCTGCTAAAAGCAGGGCCAATCCCAACTAAATCATTCAAGCCAGGACTTAAAAACCTCTAGGGATGGAGATTCTACCACCTACCTACCTAGGTAACCCATTCTAGTAATATTGGCCCATTATGAGATGAAAATGGCAGAATTATCAATAAGACAGCAGAAATCAATGAACACCTCTGTATTTCGGGGGAAAATCAGATTATGTAATCATATCCCATGACTTTTCATTGCACTAGTTTTGCTAAGGATGCTGAACAGCAGCTATTGAAGTGAAATCTTTTAAATTGGCAAGTCTGGGTAACTTGTAACAAACTTTTGAAAGAGTTGAGTAAGGTGCTCACTGGACCATTAATGCTGATTTTCAAAAGTCTTGCAACACCAGTGAAATTACAAAAGACTGAAAGAAAGCTCATGTTGAGCCAATACCTAAAAAGGGTAAAAAACAAGATTACCTGTGTAATTACAGGCCTGTCAGAGACAATCCTGGGTAAGATAAAGGAATAGCTGATTTGGGACTTTATTAAAAAAGCATCAAATGAGGATAATTAATTAAATGCCAATCAACACAGATTTACAGAAAATAGGGCCTTTGTAACTATCTTTTTTTCTGATTTACAAGTTTGATACAAGAGAAGGATATGAAATTAACACAGCACATGTTAAATGGATGAAAAGCTGGCTAAATGATGGGTCTCAAATGTAACTGTAAATAGGGAATCCCCATCAAAGAGCATGTTTTCAGTAAGGCCCTGCAGGAATCGGCTCTCTGCTCTACAACATAACATTTATTAAGGACCTGTAAGACAACATAAAACCATCTCTGATAAAAATCAACGGGTGACAGTTGGAGGAGTGGTACATAATTAAGGTGACAGGTGATTCATTTAGAGCAATCTGGATCACTTAGTAAGTGGGTGCAAGCAAACAATATGCTTTTTAATATGGTGAAATGTAAGTGTACCCAATCAAGAAACACAGAACGTAGGTCACACTTACAATAGTGGAAATTCTATCTTGGGAGTGGGTTACTGAAAAAGATTTGGAGGACATGGCGGATAACAAGCTAACCATGCGTTCCCAGTGTGATGCTGTGGCCAAAAGGGCCACTTAAAACTCTTGGATGGATCAACAGGGGACACCTGAGCATGAGTAAAGGGGTTGTTTTACTTGCCATTGGTGTGAATACAGCTTCCAGTTGGGGATATCAGAACTGAAGAAAGATGTTGATAAATTGGAGAAGGTTCAGAGACGAACCATGAGACTGATCAAAGGATTAGAAAACATGCCTTATCCAAGTGATAATTTAAATCGACTTAAGGAGCTCAGTCAAAAGGGTGATAATCAATCTAACAGTACCATATAGGGAACAAACTTTTAATAATGGGCGCTCTAATCGAGCAGACAAAAAGGCCCAACATGATCCAATGGGCCTCAATCCAAACACCTCAACTTTGAAGACCTGTATGTGACCCCAATTAAACCAACAGTTAGCCACTCGGTTTGGAACCAAGACCTGAACGAGGTTTCCAGGAAATTACTGGTGTTAAACTTTGGACGTTGTGTTTGTGACTGGGTTTGCCTAGGAAGAGCATAACACTGAATACAAAACTGAAACAGCGTCGCTTATACATGGGGAGTTGAAGCTTGCCCATTTAGAAAGCTCAGACCAACATCAGGTAAGGTCAGTGAATATTGCCTATAGCTAGATCTGCCAAGGACTACTACCTTGCACCATCTTTTAAATCAAAAAGGGAACCTTTGCTAATAAGAATCTCTACAGGCAATTACAAATGTAGCGACAGTAGTATCTGGCTGCTCCAGAGTCTAAATCTGACACGTTTAACAAAGGAGAGCAAGTCACAGTATAAAGACTCATTACAAATATAGAAGTGAAAATGGCAGCACTTCTTCTCTGAGATAAGAGGACAACAACGCTACCTCTCGAGTCCTGGACTGACACTCTGGTTAATTCACAGTGGATCTTTAGGTGTTCCAAGACCCATATATCACAGTCACTGAGGATACCTTTCTAGCTGCTTATACATGGGAGCCAACAGTAGTTACCAACTTCTACTAAAGGGATATTAGTTGGATTTGCAATACTGCTTTACTTCAATACTACACGTACTCAACAGTACAAAACAAACCATCTTCTGTTCGTGCTGCCATTCTCTGTCCCCCGCCCTCCAGTAAGTAACAGGGGCATCCCGTTGCTGGGCTTCCTCCTCCTAAAGTATTTGAAAAGGTTTTAAGGTTACCTTTTGTGGCTTTATCTAGTTAAATTTGGTTTTGTGCCTTGGCCTTTCTAATTTGGTCCCTACATACATGTGGCGTTTAGACTAAGGATGTTAAGGACTAGTCGACTATCCGATAAGCAAATGCCTATCGGATAGTTGAGTTGACTAATTGCTTCCCCTCCTCCCCCCTTGCTGCCTCTATCTGATAGAGGCAGCAAATGGGTGGGAGGAGAAGAGGAGATACTTCAAAGCGGCAGTTCAAAGGGGCAGCACTGGATAGCTGATCCTGGGCTCCGTGTGGCACTGCCTCTTTGAAATGCCACGTGGAGCCTGAGATCATCTCCCGGGCTCTGCATGGAATTTCCGCAGAACCCAGAGGTTCTGCAGAAATGCTGCATGGAGCCCAGGATCAGTTGGGGAGTCCCCAGATGACTCCAGGTTCCGTGGAAATGCTGCACAGAGCCTGGGATCAGCACTTGTTTTGAAATGCACAAGAGCCCCCACTGGGGCTCTTGTGCATGTGCCTATCGATTACTCGACTAGTAAATTAATCGATATTTAACATCCTTATACTCATCCTTTGTAATTTAACCTAGGGCTTTTTTTGGTAGGACTCTGTTTCAGATCATTGAAGATCTCCTGGATAAGCCTCATATTTTTCCCTTCACAGTGAGATGGTTTGCACTTGTGTCCTTAACGCCTTTGAAAAACTGCCAACTCTTTCCAACTGTTTTCCCAGTTGAGAAGGGTTAGCCCCACGTGCCGGTTAGCCTCATAGCAGGGTATAAGGAGGAAAGTGCTTGTGCAAGTCTAGCTGGACCAAACGTCCTCCAATCAGTAACATATGGACACAAGCACACCTGAAGTGGAGCATCCATAGGGACACGACTCAAAGAATTTCTGTGCCTCAGTCCTCAAGAGATCCCTGGACAAAAGGCATGTGAGGAGCTCCCAATATCATTTGATTAGTTGGAACAAGATAGTTTTAGCAGAACGTTAAGCATGCAAAGTATGTCAGTTTTTGCTTTTAAAGACAGTGATATTTGCTTCTTTTCACGTTATGCAAATTATGTACGTAATCAGAAATCAATTTCTTCCACTTTGTCCGATACCCCTTCATCTTTTCTAAGAATGTAGCTATTATCTTAGATCTGACAGAACTATCTGGCAGCAGCAGAGTAGAAGAATATCATCTTTGTTATGTGCTCCAGAGCCAGAACAATTTCACCAAGACTTCTTTTCCATGTATCTTGCTTTTGAACACACAGCACCTTGGAAAGCACTTGCAAATCAAACAAAGTAGACAATCTTGTGGGGATTCTCTTATGAAACCCAACATGTGACAATACAACCAAAGCTTCTAATCATGCGTCATTTGCATTTAAGACACTGCTTCGGTTTACTCGCTATAAAACCCTCAGAGGTTACTCAGCTACAGCCATGTTTAACAAAACCCCCAAACACTTACATCTACTCCTCCAAACAAATCAAACGTGTATGTGTTTGGGAAAGTGGATTCTTGAGCAGCTTTTCTATTATCTTCAGTGACAAACGCCATCGCTTCCATTGAGAGGAGCGGAGAAATTTCCTGAGAGAAAAAAACAAAACAAAAAAAACAAATACATTCAGTCAACACCTTAGCAACAAAGTAGGGACGTCAACAAACATTTGTTTTTGTAAACGGTGACGCTCAGCAGCACAGGGGGTGGACAGCTCTGCAGGAGCCGGTCCTTGGGGGGAGAAGGGGAGAGAGCCAGTGTTTAAACTGGCTCCCCTGAGCTGCTGCCTCTGTGGGAGGCCGTGTGCGTGCGTGCACGGGGCTTCCAGGGGAGCTGGTATGAGCAGTGTACCACCTCCTGCCTGCCTCTCCACCACCCACGCTGCTGAGGCGGGAGGGTGCGTAACCTTCTAACATGCAACGTGAAGCGACACAGTCAGCGACCGAGTAGATATTACCTTGAGGATGCCTTGGCACTGAGAGAAGTCGCTGTTCGGATGGCTGTTCTCATACAGTTTCTGCAACAGCAGGGGAATTCCATTCCATTTTGCTTGTTTATCCCTTTCCTTTAACAAGGCCTCTGTGATCTACAAGGGAGAACACCATTGGCTTTTGAACTAACATTTTCTTACCTTTCCCCATATGCTGCATGCCACCGTCAGGCTGACCTCATGACTCATCATCACTATGCTCCTAAATCTGGTGAGCTCTTGCTTATTTCACTCCATTTTAAACACTATAGCAACTCACTGAAGCAAGGGTGAGGGACGTCCCAGCTGCTATCTCTAGGAGTAAGAAGAAATAGAGGAGGTGGTGGTTTGGCAGGGCCCTATATTAAGCACCATGGAGGTGCCACTCCAGGAGGCACCCAGACCGATCCTGTGGATTACTACTAGGGGACATCTTCTAGCTACTCTGCACATGTGCGTGGGCCCACCCCCAACAGGAACGCACATGAACAAGCACTCGAACATGAGCTACTGAATGCAGGAGTCGGGAACGTTTACTGCTGAAATTTCACGCTGATTTTGCCCAGCAAAGGAGAGGATGATAAATTTGGGCTGAAATTCAAGAGTGAGAGGGAGGATTCAGAGAAAACTGAGCAGAGGTAGGGGGCTGGCTATAGTGAGGGAGGGCTCACTCATCACGTTAGAAGTCACATTGCTCTTTCTGACCCATTTGAGCACTGTGGTAGAGTTCCAGGTTCTCACCTGTTTCAATGAGGGTAGAAATACCCTAAACCTGCATCCATACCTTGCTTTCTTTAGCAAGCCAACACGCTCCTGTCCACATTGCACAAGAGTGAGCAGTAACTGCACTTCAAGGAGCGGGAAAAGGGTCTGCTTAGGAAATCAAATTTGTTCAGGAATATAACTTCTTTTCCCCTTCCTATTGCGTCCATCTAATTTCCAGCACACTTGGTTTACTGATTTCTACTTGGATTTGATGACTGATTTGTTAGCCATCACACAGTTCTTGAACTATCTCTTCAGGCCTTTTTGTTTGGTCCATTTTTCTGCCTCACTCATGCACTCCTCCACTCCCGCCAACACAATTAGGGCAAATTTATGGGCCCAATTATCCCAACAGGAGCACTCATGGTAGCAAAGTTGAGCATATATGTAAGTGTCTGGAAGGCTCTGAACACAGTCCATCTTGAATGAGACAGGTGCAGGGAGGGAAAAACAGAAGGATTCTGTAATTAGAGCATGCATACACACAAGGGATCCAAATTAAGGTTCCATGGCATTTCCTAACTTGAGTGCTAGAATTAGCAACTGTAATTTTCCTTATGGCAGAGTTTAATGTAGGTTTTGTGTGTTAAAAAATGGAGTGACCGGCCTTGTAGTGTGGAGTGCTCAATACAGTATTTGAGAGGTGCACGGTGTAGACGACAGATGGCATTTCCATGGATGATAGGGTGGGCTTCACTTCAAGGTTCCAGGAAGCTTAGCTTCCTGCTCTTTGTGACTAGTTCCTTCTTGGCAATGGCAGAGGGGCTCAGGAAGCTCTTGAAAACAAACAGCTTGGTACAGCGCTGAGCTGAATCCAGGATCTTTGCATCCCAGGCTCTCCAGCAAATGCTGTTGGTTGCGGCGTAAGCTCCTCCTGGAACAGAGAATCTCTGTGCAAGGCTTTGCCTTGTGAGCAGAAAGCTGGGCCACTGCTGCAGGAGCACTGATACTTTTTAGCAGTCGTTCCCCTCCATTCTTCAAGTCTTCAGGCCCTGGCTTGTGAGAGACCTAAACACTGTTGAAATTCCTCACTCTGTGATTTAAGTGGGAAGATCCTTGGTGTTTTCCTGGTGTCTCCAAGTTGGGGGCACTGCTTCTGTTAAAAGCCCTCACGTAGCCTGCTAAGGACTTCCCCCCTCTCTCCATCCACCTGCAGGAAGCAGTCCATGCTGGGGAATATCTGCATCCTCTCTGCTGCTGTGGATCCCTAGTGGACTCTGCATCAAGCTTTATTCAGAATCTTCATTAGGCTTTCTTTTTTCCTTTCTCTTTTATTTTGAAAAGACCTCCCCACCTCCTCCCCACCTCCACTTCTGAGCCTCAATTTTTGACAGCTCTTTTCTATTTTGGACAAATTGCTAGACAGGACTGTAAATTGACTCAAGTGCAGCAGGTTGCAATGCTCTTTAGGATTTCCTACCAGGTCAAGTTGGCAACCTTGGCACCAATCAACACTATCAAGCTTGTTGTCCCTCTTGCCAGACCCGGCCCACAACTACTCAGAATGGGCTATTCCACACACCACTTCCTTAAGGACCCAAAAGACAGGAGGACGTTGGGGAAAAAACCTGACTACTGGAGCAAGCTTCAACATCATGACTACCTCCTGGGACTGCAGGCCTCTCTCATGCTCACCCTGACCAGATGGGTCAAAGAGGACCCAGATGACACCGCTACCACTACCAGCTCTGGCAAAATCCCAACTACTGGTGATGTGAGAGATTCATTCCCTCCCTCCCCTTGCCCTTCTCCTCTTTCTCCCCCTCTGTCTTCTCTTTAATAAGAATCTGCCTTCGCCATCCAAGACCGTATATTTTGCAACACCGCTACAAGCTTATTACCAGAAAGAGGCAGCTATAAGCAGAGCCGTAAACAGCCTCATTCTAGGACAAGTTTGCCCGGTGTCAATGCTCCCATCCTTGACACTGCAGGAATATTCCTACTAATACCCTTGCTAAATTCCACATCTCTATCCCAGCCATTTTAAGAAGCTCACGGTTTGTAAGAGGTTTTCTCCTAACCTCGCCGTGAGAAAAAAGCCAAATAATTTTTGGTGACGTCTTCCAACAAAATTCAGCCCAAAGGAAACTTCTGGCATGGGAAGTTTCAGCCCAAATGTTCTAAATTTGGCTAAGTTTAAGCAAGTGAAAACACGGTCTTACAAATGGAAGATGCCGGGCAATGTTAACTAGAGGAGTCGCCAGCAGCACAGTCCGTAATACATGGGATAGGAAATACAATACAAAACGATGCAGCTAACACCCTAGACCTGCTGAAACTTTGAGTGTTGGAAGCTGCATGCCCACAAAATAAGATACACACATCTCACAGCACTGTGGAGGGCAAAGGCTTATGCTGTGTAAGGCAGGGGTGGGGAACCTCAGGCCTGGGCACCGGATGAGACCCCCGGCTTGTCTGGATCCAGCTTCCAAGGCTCAGGGCTCCCCCAGCTTTGGGGAGCTTGTGCTGGTGCTCCAGCCCTCCCACCTCCCCACTGTGGGGCGGGAGCACACAAAATCTACTGGGCTGGGCCCCCCGAGGCTCTGGTGCGAGGGAAGGTGGGGAGAGTCTCTCTCCTTCTCCGTCAAGGGCCATGTCACTCAGGGGTTGTCTCTCTTCTCACGTGTGCCTGGCCCCTGATGTTTCCGGATCCAAAAATGGTTCCCCAGCCCGACGTAAGGTAACAACCACCACGTAATTGTCACTCAAATACTTCCTGCACCTCCCCTCCTGGCTCTTTACAATCGAAGGCCAACTCTACACAACAGAACTGCTTCAACCCAGCCACATCCCGGAGCGAGTAATGGTGCCAACCTCACCCAGGGCGCAGGCAGTGCTAGCGGAGCAGAAAAAAGCTTCCGTCAAGCTAGACCCCACCCCTCCAGGAGGCAGATTAGCTAAAGCAAAGGAGAGCCCCGCCCACAGTCGTAATTAACATCTGCACTGCAATGCTGCTGCGCCATACGCTGGTTGGCGGCATGATCTTTAAAAGGGGGCCACCCCAGAAGGGGAGGGCCAGGAGACTTCTTGTGCTTCCTCCCTGCCCTGTTTGGCCTGGGGTGGGGGAAGTGCAAGAAGCCTGACTGGCCTGGGGGAGGGGAAGCAGCAGGGCAGCCCAAATCCACCAACTTGGCAGGCCAGATCCAGCCCGCAGAGGGCCCTTTGCCTACCCCGATCTACACTGTACAGTTAGGTTGCCATACGGCAGCTTCTGTTGCTCTGCCAGTGTACACACTCCAGCCTTGCTCCCCCGACTGGCGGGCACGGAGCTCACGCTGAGGTTGGTAGGACGACGCAGCGCCAGCGCAGACACTACACTACTAACGCTGGCTGTTGCCAAAAGCCCAGTTTTCCAGCTGAGCTGCCGCCAGGTCTCCACTCCAAGCCAGACTGCCCCCTGGGTCTCAGCTTCAAGCCCTGCTGCCCCATCTCCCCTAGCCCCCGTGCACGCTCGCAGCTTGGAGCCCTCACGGAGACGGGGGGGTGAATCCAGACTCCCTGCTCAGGCTTTAGCTCTCAGTTCTGTCCTGGAAGAATAGCAGCTGACCGGACTCATGCTGCAGCTTCCCTGGGCTCCTGGCAGGAAGGGAAAGGCCCAACGCAGATGGGCTCCAGGTGATGAATAGAGCAGAGCCAAGAGCCCTGGCTCTCAGGGCCGCACACTGCGCTTTTCAGCCGGGGCAAGAGCTCCCAGCAAAGATGCACAGCAGCAGCAGGAGGACGGTGTGGACATCAGCCACTACCATACTTACTGCAGCGCCTCAGTCTCAGCCTAAGCCAACCTAACGTAGGGTGACTTAAGATTGCAGCGCAGACATAGCCTAAGACTGGCCCGAGCCTCGTGAGAACTACTTCAAACAGGTCTTACACGAGTGGATGCTAGCTAGGAAAAATCATAGAATAGAATCATAGAATACTAGGACTGGAAGGGTTCTCGAGAGGTCATCGAGTCCAGTCGCCTGCCCCCATGGCAGGACCAAGCACTGTCTAGACCATCCCTGACAGACATTTATCTAACCTGCTCTTAAATATCTCCACAGATGGGGATTCCACAACCTCCCTGGGCAATTTATTCCAGTGTTTAACTATCCTGACAGTTAGGAAGTTTTTTCCAATGTCCAACCTAAACCTCCCTTGCTGCAGCTTAAGTCCATTGCTTCTTGTTCTATCCTCAGAGGCAAAGATGAACAAGTTTTCTCCCTCCTCCTTGCGACACCCTGAAAACTGCTCTCATGTCCCTCCTCAATCTTCTCTTTTCTAAACTAAGAAAGCCCAATTCCTTCAGCCTTCCCTCATAGGTCATGTTCTCTAGACCTTTCATCATTCTCATTGCTCTTCTCTGGACCCTCTCCAATTTTTCCACATCTTTCTTGAAATGTGGTGTCCAGAACTGGACACAATCCTCCAACTGAGGCCTAACCAGCACAGAGTAGAGTGGAAGAATGACTTCTCGTGTCTTGCTCACAACACACCTGTTAATGCATCCCAGAATCATGTTTGGGTTTTTTGCAACAGCATCATACTGTTGACTCATTCAGCTTGTGGACCACTATAGCCCCTAGATCCCTTTCTGCCGTACTCCTTCCTAGACAGTCACTTCCCATTCTGTATGTGTGAGACTGATTGTTCCTTCCTAAGTGGCGCACTTTGCATTTGTCTTTATTAAACTTCATCCTGTTTACCTCAGACCATTTCTCCAATTTGTCCAGATCATTTGAATTATGATCCTATCCTCCAAAGCAGTTGCAACCCCTCCTAGCTTGGTATCATCTGCAAACTTAATAAGTGTATTTTCTATGCCAAGATCTAAATCGTTGATGAAGATATTGAACAGAACTGATCCCAAAACAGACCCCTGCGGAACCCCACTTGTTATGCCCTTCCAGCAGGATTGTGAACCATTAATAACTACTTTCTGAGTACGGTTATCCAACCAGTTATGCACCCACCTCATAGTAGCCCCATCTAAGTTGTATTTACCTAGTTTATTGATAAGAATATCATGCGAGACCGTATCAAACGCCTTACTAAAGTCTAGGTATACCAGGTCCACCTCTTCTCCCTTATCCACAAGACTCGTGATCTTATCAAAGAAAGCTACCAGATTGGTTTGACACGATTTGTTCTTTACAAATCCACACTGGCTGGTCCCTATCCCCTTGCCACCTTCCAAGTGTTTCAACCAGGGTTCCACGCAGGGTGCATGTCCGTGCACCAAGACTTTCAGTCCCATCCACCCCCTCAGCAGAGCCGTGCAGCTGCAGCCCCCACTGCTCCCGGGAGCAGGGCTGTGTGGCGGGTGGCTGCCCTGCCCCAGAAGCAGCTGGGCAGCTACCTCATGGCCTGCATGACGGCTGCTAGAGCAGGATCCTAAGCACCACGGCTCTTGCTTCAGCCCCAGCACACAGGGCTGCCACCTGCCATGCTACCCAGCCCAGCAGGTTCAGGTGTCAGGATGGCAGGTGGTGAGGGAAGGGGCAGGGGGAGAACTAAGGGGAAGGTAGAGGTGGACAGAGGAGGGGCCAGGGCAGGAGAAGAAAGGGGAAGGCACCAAGGGGCAGGGTGGAGGAGAGACGAATGTTGGGGGCCAAGAGGAGATGAGGTGCAGGGGGGATGGGACGGTGTCAGGGAAGGCGGGAGAGGAGAGCGGACAGGGTGATGTTGGGAGAGGAGAGGGAGGGGCAATGGGGGCAAGAGGGAGGAAGAAAAGAGGGGAGCAGTGGGTGCTGGGAGAATAGGGGTGAAATGAGGGGTGGGCACAAGGAAGGCAGGAGATGGAGTAAGTCATGTGTGTGGGTGCACAGGGGCATGAGAAAAACTGAGACAGATGGTGGTGAGGGTGTGGGCACCAGGGATGAAGAGGGCAAGAGGTCAGGGCAGTGAGAGAAGGGGGAGGCACCAGGAGGGTGCAGGGAGCTTGTGGGGGTGAAGCAGAAGGGCAGACATGGAGAGGAGTGGAAGGGAGGGACAGGAACCAGAGGGCAGAGGAGAGAGGCAGGTGCTAGGAGAGGGGAGGAGGACTAGAGGAGGGGTGGGTATGGGGCGGGGGGGGAGGAGGACAGGTGCAGGGGTCAGAGAGGATGGGGAGGGGCATGAGAAGGGCAGGAGCCAGAACAGCAGAAGAGGGTGGGGGGCAGCACGCACCAGGGGAGCAGATGAGGGGAGCGGAGGGTGGGGGAGACAGCAGCAGAGGGGAAAAGGGAGAGGTTTATAACTTGGGTGCTGCGATGGCACAAATCCAAACAAGCACACACAACCTCAATACTCAAGACCTCAGGGTAACCAGACTAAATTTGGAAAGTGAGGTTCTGAACTTCATTGGAAATACTGCAGTGGCGAACCAGAGAAAGTCCATAAGAACGTACCACTGTATGAAGGACACATGATTATGTATAAATAATGCATATAGAAAACATCAGAACCTGACAGCTAAAAAAGAGAGAGAGAATGAATATGAATAAAACCCAGTGCATGCTAAACTCACAGGTTACCGTCTTCCTTAATGCACATATGGACTAAAATTCACTTTAAGATAAGCACAAATTGTTCGTCATCTGGAATGTAAGTTTGGGTATGTTCCAACTAGACTTAAAGCAAAGTAGTTAGTATGTAGTAACAGGCAACCAACTAACTATTCTAGTCAAACCCACAGTGCACACACATCCCTATTAACCACAGCTTGAAAAATTTACCAGCTACCTGTTGCCAGAGGCCAACAACTAATA